ATATATATATATGTAGACAGGGGATTTAACGGTTACGCACTCTTGTGGATGTGCCGGTTCTCCGAGTCTGCGGATTCGTCGTCCGTCGAGGTTGGAGTGGTGGATGGAGGACTTTCGGTGCCCGGCGATACGCCATTGTTGTCCACCGTAAAATAATGACGTCTCGAGCGCTGAAAATGATGAATATATCATATATCAAAGATATTACGTCAAGATGTCATTCAACGAGATAACTTTTTTAATGACATAATCTCATTACAACTGGCAGTTGAGGAATCTCAAGTCGATTATCTTTAGCAAGTTGCATCGCATTCTTTATGGTCTTTGAAGACTTCAAAATATTTAAAGCATCTCTTGAATTATTTCGTTGTCAACGATTTGAATCACTTCAAGTTCCCGTAAGTCGAGTCTGAGTCGAGTGCGAGGAAATAAAGGATGGTTACACGGACTCAGTGGTTTCCGGATCGAGTCACAGTCTCTGTCGAGTACACCGACGGTCGATCTCACTCAGGTAAATACGGCGCAATGTCAATGTACACAGATAAATGTCCATAGATACCAGGAACAGGGGAGCGGATTATAGCCACTATCGGATGATGAGAGTTACGCGAGAAGTCTGTACTTTGGAGCGGAGCCAAAGAGATCTACTGTAAGGAGAGTACTCATCTAACGGTCATCAGCTTTCAGATGAAGGCTTATACGAGTAATAATGTTCATGAACAAGAGAAAGAAAGATAATACGACGAAAGGATACGAGCGAAGACGTGAAGGATTTGTATAATCGGGCGATAAGTTGTATCGCGACTTGAAATTGAAACGAGCGCTGAAAAGCTTTTCAGAGGAAACCTAATTTCAACCATTAATCTTCCGTCCAATTTCGTTTATATGAATTTATTTCAGTTTAAACATAAGTAATGTTTAAACATAGCATTAATTATTCCTTCTTAGTTAAGATTTACTTTGTTCATTCATACTCTTTGGTTAAAGAGAGGATTATTAAAAATCGATTATAAGGATGCAGTAAGGCAAGAAAATTAATTAAAACTAATTGAAGCAATTATGTTCAATTTAAATTTGAAGATGTGGATGCGAAAAAGTTTTGTTAATTTCGATTACTGAATTGCTTTCTGATCTAAAAATCGTTCAAATCTTCAATCTTTTTATCAAGATTTAATTTAAGATAATTTTAATTTTAAAAAAATCTGCTATAAATGAATAAAAATACATATCCGAAACATAACATCTTATAACCTATCTTATAACCTTGCAAGTACATATAGTGTGTATTAGTAATTCAAGATTGAATTATTTCAGCAATGCTTATAAAGCAATGAAGATCCAGCTTCAACTGTAGTAGGCATTTTTTTTTAGTATTGATTGTGTTTCTTATAACCTTATTTTAGATAAATCATATATAATTTCATTTAATAAATGTAAACAATAAAACAGCAAAATATTGCGGTTTAATGAAAGTACATAATATTTAATGTTGACAAATGTATACACAGCTTACCTTGTAACGAAGTATATCAGAACCTAGTGCAGGGACAATATAAGTTGAGACGATTGAAAGTAACAGGAGATAGAAGGTTACGAGGCAGGGCTTTAGTCGCATCTGAAAAATATATCAAAAATTACATCAGATCGGTATCAGGTTTACTCTTTTATATCATTTGCTTTATTGTTATTTTGTTTCTTAGAAGAATATCCTACGAATGTAGATAATAAAGATACATATAATTGAATATGACATGGATTATTCAGCTGTCGACAGAATTCTTTTTCGACAGAGTTAGAGATAAAATTCACTACTTTGATTAATTTGAACAAGGAAGATAAAAATATATTTATTATAAATAAAAATATTTTTATTTTAGCTCGTTGTATGCAGACATGATCATTAATTCCACGTATCTATTAAATGATTATGTATAGTTATTATATAAATTAAATTTTATTTAAATTAATACTAGATTAAATAAGATTTCTTTTTTATTTTTAGACGTGACAATCTCTATTAATAGCAGTAGACATTTTTGTATTATAATAAAAAATTACCTTTTGTTTTTAGCGTTCAAAATTTCTATATAAGTACATAATAACAAAAATATATATTTTCTTGGAATCTAACAAATTTGAATTTTAAATTAATATATTTAAATAATTATAAGAAATCAAAAGAAAAATATAGAATATCGTATCATTTGGGTACAAAATGTATAAAATATTTTCGTTTCTCTATAGATAAAGGCAAATTTTATATTGTGCCACAGTGGCACATTGTTCCCCTGTCCGGAATACAATCCCGTTTAATACCGCGAGGAAGTTATACTTTTTCCAATTATCTAACCGTTCGTAATTTATATTCTTCTAATCCATTGAGACTACCAACTCTTCCGATATATATGTATGCTACGAAAAGAAAAGGGAGAGGGAAAAGAAATCACTGCGATTTTGTATGCCTGGAAATTTACAGTGCTATATTCCGGAGACGTTTACACGGTAGAGGTTGGCCCATCTTAAATCTTCCGATTAACTTCGAGTGCTTGGCTGGTCTATATTTTATATACATGGCACTCGGAAATTTACCGTTAAAAATGGCACTTGTATACGAATTATATATCGTCTGCAAGCGCATACGATTTTCTGAGATGTGAAAACACAGTCACCGCGATACAAAACGTGGTGAGCATACATTGAATATGAAACATCATTGTAATTTGACAGATATTTTTTTATTATCGTAAAATAATGAATTATTCTTAAAAATGACTCATCCTTAAATTATTCACAAAAACTTTAGTATTAATGAAAATTGTTGCATATTAATATGTCATTTTAACAGATATATTGGATTAGTTTTATATGATCGTATATTAAGCACTAAATAAATTCTAATATATAATATTTTTTGAAATAAGAGACAAGATGAAAAAAATGTTTTATCATTCGCTTGAACAGAACAGTGGTTTTTTTAATATGTAAAATACATGATAGTTTCAAATAATCATGCAAATATATATGCATACACACTCATATATATATATATGTGTGTGTGTGTGTGTGTGTGTGTGTGTGTGTGTGTGTGTGTGTGTGTGTGTGTATATATATAAATCTTAAAATATATTTTTAACTATTTAAAATATTGCCCTTCTTCGTTTACCGAAAAGATACGAGTTAAAAGAGAAAGAAATAAACTAAATAAACTAAAATTTTGTTTAATAGTCAATTTGGTTTTATTTTAAATGACTTTCTCAAATCATTCCGTGACAATAATTAATTCATTTTCTTATTTAGAATATGCTAAGGAATATTTTTTAACTGAAAGAACGTAGAATCTTCTCAACTTTCCAAATTAGCTTAGTCTTATAAACAGATGTGAAGCAGAAGGTCATCATTTGCGCGCCACTGCTGTCGGGTCCTTGAACGATTGCTGATGATAGAACACTGCAGTCTTTTGGGAGGGTCGTTTAGCCTGTCTTGGTCTTGGTATGAGAAGTTGGTTAGAAGCGTAGGGGCGTGCTGACAATACAAGGAAGCCTCAGTTTTTCTTTGATCTTGGTTTGGTACGCATATGTTTCTTGGTACAGTTTACAAGAACGAATATTAGCCAGAAAAATTTGTGATTTGAAGTGAATTTTTCATTTTCTCTCGAATTTTATTTTAAGATTTTTATGAATATTGTGTGTGTGTGTGTGTCTGTGTGTGTGTGTGTGTGTGTGTGTGTGTGTGTGTGTGTGTGTATATATATATATATAATTTTTTTATTACAAGATATTAACATTCATGTACATATATATAATTTTTTATATAATAATTCTTCAAAATTTATCATACAATTTATCCTGCAATTAAAATTAATTTATGCTGCAATTAAATTTATTTATCATATGTCATAAGATTCATATTATCGAGGTATTTAATTTCTCTCGTATCGTATTTTTATTATTACCAAACAATTTATGACATTTTTTCTTTGTTATATCAAGAACAAATCTCTATTTTTTTTCAATAGATTGCTTGAAGAAATATTTATAATATAGATATATGAATTAATTTTGAAACTGTGATTTGGAACTATATACTTTCCTTCGAAGTTCGAAGTAATTCGTACATACATAGTATATTTCTCATTAATTATAAATCCCTATCATTATTAATTACAAATAGTTTCCAATCTTCTCATCTTTTTAAAAGAGAATCTCTATTTTGTCTGCAAACTTGACGATTGTTCGGTCGCAGATCTCAGCGGAGTACTTTGCAAAGCTAATCTTCGAAGAGCAACGAATTCACGGGAAGAATGATGGTGTACTTCTTATTCGTCGGTTGCATTATGTTGCTGCTTGGTGTTCTCGAGGAGCCGTTTGTCTCGGCTGCAACAATGAGAGGATACGACTTCCCACAGACAACCTCCGCCGTCGCCACGAATCTGAACGGGGGCGCACAGGACGCGGCCGCGAGCATCAATAATCCGGAATCCGCCTGCCCGTGCTTGACATCGGTCAATAGCTCGACGATCCCCGGACAATCGGACTGGATGACGCAACAGAGCCGGCAACGTCTCGAGCAATTCTACACTCAAAATGTGATGTTGCATGGCATGATGTGTTCGTGCAACGTGGCCATGCACGGTGCTCCAATGAGAGATGATTATCATTACGCAGTAGGTATCGGCGCACATAAGTTGCACACAAGAGCCGCCACGTGGAACGATGCGAGGAAGTTCTGTAATGAGGAGGGTGGTCACCTCGCCATCATCAATTCTATTGCTGAGGAGCATGTGAGTTGCTAATCCAATTATATACTTAAGTTTAACATTGATTATGTAATACACAATAAATGATTCGTATGATTTTGATTTTCTTTAATCAAATATATTTGTGAGATAATCGAAAAATATGAATAATGTCCGATTATAAGGACACGTAACCATATCATCGAAAATTAATGTTACATGCTATGCAATCTGTTGATCTTTTTTCAGATACTACTGGACATATTTAATCGCTCTGGACCAATCAAGGGCGCAGCTTATCCCGACGAGGCTTTTTTAGGTATACACGATCTTTATGCAGAAGGAGAATGGGTTACGGTGTTGGGTGATTCGTTGGCAAAAACCGGTTATACCAGGTGGAGTGATAAGTGGGACGGACAACCTGACAATGGAGGCGGCAAACAGCACTGTGGTGCCCTAATGAAAGAGGGTGGCATGGATGACGTCGCGTGCGATGTCCCATTTTCATTCTTCTGTGAACTTCCGCTGATGCGAGTTTTACAATAAGAAAAAATAGGAAAAAAAATATCGGCTTAGTACACCTTTAAAGATTAAGCTCTGCATAAGGTTTATGCCCTCCTTGTGTATCTTGGCGCTTTCATGATGGCATACTATGAACATCCACGTCTTTTTTTATAATATACACACAAATATACTCATACACATATACACACTGGGTGTGTTTCAAAATCATCGGATTTCCTTTTAAGAGCGGATTCTAGTCACTTTTACCACTTGTCATGCTTAAGCGCGTGAAATGTCTTTATGATTCAATACGACTTTAATCTCTATTAATTTAAAAACTATTGTAACCTTTATATTTTCATAAATAACAATAAGATTTTTGTTTTATAGTATTTCAAAGAATTCCTATGAAAAGAAATCCGATGGTTTTAAGACACCTTGTATATTTTCTATATATATCTAAAATATATATATCTATATATATA